ATAGGATCCCAGGGGCGGGATCCCATAGGATCCCCTGGGGATCCCATGGGGGGGGCAGGAGGGGATCCCATGGGGAGGATCCCCTCCTGCCCCCCCATGGGATCCCCCCCCATGGAGAGTCTCCCGAGACTTGGCCATCTGCCGGCAGATGTACGCGGCGGACCGGTCCACCTTCGTGGGGTCCTTCCCGGAGAACGCGCCGCCGCCGTGGGCACCTCCAGCCGCCGCAGGTGTCGATGATGATCTCGCGGCCGGTCAGGCCAGCGTCGCCCTGGGGGCCTTGGGCGTTGCTTAATGGGGGGGTCACAAATGGGGGGGTCAGAAAAGGTCCCCTTTCGTGCCCCTTTCGGGCCCCTCTGGAGCCCCAGGGGGCTCGTTTAGGCACCGTTTGGGTACCTTTTCGGACCACCCTCGCCGCCCCCCCATTTATGACCCCCCCATTACGCAACGCCCAAGGGCCGCCGATGATGAACTTGCCGGACGGGTTGATGTGCATGTGCGTGAAGGCCGCCGAACAAGGATATGGCGGGCTGTCCGTTTTTCAGCTTGATCTCGGAGAGTGTCTTCTTCACCACCCTCTCCGTGATCAGCTTGTTCATCTCCTCCATGCTGGGCGCGGTCATCTCAGGGCCCGTGTAGCCGGCGCACTCCTTCGTGCGCTGGGCCTTGGAGGGCTCCGCGTGCTGCGTCGAGATGACCACCGTGTGGAACTTCTGGGGCTCCACGGAGCCGTCGGCCTTCTGCAAGTACTCAATCGTGACCTGCGTCTTGCCGTCCGGGCGCAGCCACCAGAGCTCCCCGCTCTTGCGCACGTCCGTGAGGGTCTTGCCCAGCTTCGTGGCCACGGAGTGGGTCAGAGGCATGCAGTCCTCCGTCTCGTCGGTGGCGTAGCCGAACATGATACCCTGATCACCGGCCCCCACGTCCAGGTCCTCTTTCCCGACGTGCACACCTCCCGCAATGTCAGGGCTCTGCTTGTTGATGCGCACCAGAACCTCGCAGGTCTTGTCGCTGAGGCCCTTGCTGTCCACGCTGGAGAGGTCGTCCACGAACGAGTCGAACCCGATCTTGGCCACCACCCCGCGCACCACCTTCTCGTAATCGATCTTCGTCTGGGTGGTGATCTCGCCAGCAACCATCACCATGTTTGGAGGGGAACTGGAACACACAAATAAATACACACAAATAAAAATATCCCCCATATTTTCCCATATTTTCTGGGTTTTCGTCTTCCCCCCCACTTCCCATATTTTCCCATATTTTCCTGGGGATCACCGATTAATTGTGTCTGTGTGTTTCTTTCCCTCCTGAATGTTGTCCTTCGTGGCCGTCTCGCACGCCACCTTTTGCTCTTGGGATCCCCGACGAGGCACGCGTCGAGAACGGCGTCGGACACCTGGTCGCAAAAATCTTGTCGGGGTGGCCCTCGTTGACGGACTCCGAGGAGAACAGGAAGACCCTCTCCGCCTTGGCCCTCTTCTGGGCAGGGGAACGTAAGACCCGGGTACGGGGGACTCGGAAATCCCCGACGAGGTCGTCAAAAAAGTGACGAGGCCGAGCCTGCATTTTGACGAGGCCTCCCGCTGCAGACGTCCCACGAAACCCCTCCTCGTCAAAATCCGAGGCGCGGTCGTCAAAAAACGATGGCGAACCCGAGTCCTGGCAAACCCGGGTCTTATGGGATGCACAGAAACATACTAATACTACGTGTCCGCCTTGGAGGCGCGCGTCCGACCCGAACATATAGTATACCCATCTTGTAGTATATCGTTTCCCGAGCGGTGTGGCCAGAAAGCGCCCGCCACGACGCATATACTATAAGATTTCTCGGTGCGCGCGTCTCCCCTGGGGGGGCGACGCACATATAGTATAAGTATGTTGGGGTGTTGCCGATCTTACGCTCCCCCTCTTCTGGGCAGGCTCCGCCGTGGCAGAGTTCGCAGGGCCGGAAGCTGGGCGGAGGGCGCGCGAGGCCCAGCAGAAGCCAAAGTCACGCCGCCTCAAAGCCAAAACGGCTGCGAGCGGGCTCTCTCTCTCTCTCTCGTTCAACTCCTGGGCTTGCTCCCCTCCCCCTCCCCTTTCTCGGGCCTCAGAATCGGGCTGTCCCCGACCCGCGCCCTGCTCCCTTTGCGGATCGACCCCGGACCTGTGCTGGAGCGCGTGACTGGGATTTCGACGTGGATCCTGCCGCGGCAACGAGGGGTTGCCAGTGAGGCTCACTGATGGAAACAACCGAAACTCTTGCTTCTGAAGGTCTTGGTGGCCTTTTCGCAGCGAGGACCCCCGAAGCTTCGACCCCTTCCCTGGGACCGTCCGCTCCGAGGGCCCAGGGCCGGGCCCAGTGCCCAGTGGGGGCACACCTGGGCCTCAGACTTTCAAAAGAAACAGCCGTCTTGATGTAGGGCGACGGGATCTCCAGATATGCTCTCTGCTCCCTGGCCAGGCCCATCCTGAACCCAGCAGCGGTGTCTACGTAACGGCGCCCTCCTGGCATGGCCAGGACGGCGTGTTCACAGCTCCTAGGTTCAGGCTTGGTCTGGCCAGGGAACAATGGAGATGTCAGAATGAGGTGGCCAAACGGTCATTCACTGTTCCTGGGCGCGTGGCTGAAATGAGGCTCTGCTGTGCGGATTGTTGTTGTTGTTTGTTGTTGTTTGTTGTTAGTTGTTGTCGTCCTCCCAACGACCCGACCCGGCCAACGAACCGCCCGCGACGCACCCGCTACCCGTCCGCGACCCACCCGTGACCCACCCCGCGACCAACCCGCGACCCCCCCCGCGACCCGTCCGCGACCCGTCCGCGACCCACCCGAGACCCACCCGCGACCCACCCCTGGACACACCCACATTGCTTTAACTTCAAAACCGCCGCCTGCGGCAGGCTCGTTGTGTCCGCGGGCCCCTTGTGGGGCCACCAGCCTGTAGGACGAGGTTGCTGCTCCATGCTCCAGTTGCAGTTTCAAGTCTCCAATGTTACAATCCTGCTTTCTGCTTCCTACAAGGAGCTCGTAGCCATTTTGGCTTGGACGATATCTTCGCTGTGTCCCGGCACTTCGAGGTCTACTCCTTCGTGGACTCCTCCAGCTTCGCCTGGGCCATCTACGTCGAGACTGAGCTCATCTCGGTCATCATCCTGTTGCGCATGTTCAGTGGGCGTAGGACTTGGTCATCCTGGCCCGTGTGTAGAGTTGCTAGCATGTTGGTGTGATGCCGATGATCCAGATGCTCGGATACCTGGCGAAACGAAAAGGTACTGGTACTGCTGCCCCACAACCCTCTCCCGGGGTTCGTTCGGACCAGGATCTCGAGGCGAACCCAGCCGAGGTGACGAGGGCCTCCGAGGAGGACCAAAAAGGGGAAAACGAGGGGAGGCTAGAGGTATGGGTACCTTTTCCTCCTCTGAGAACATGTATGATTGTGCAGTTGTTCTTCGTGGAGACTTGCCGCGAGCCTCCCACGAGGTCCATATAAGGGGAAATGGATGGAATGGCAGCAGCATCGGTACCTCTTCCTCTTTTGTGTATCAGTACGTCAGCGCGATGCCGCTGATCTACATGCTCAGACACCGCTCCAAGTCACCTACAGTGGAGGCCAGTCCGCGAGGAACCTTCCACAATAATCCCAACCCTGAGACCCCAGGACGTCCATGGATGTTTTGGTGTGGGACCGTCGCGCTCTCCACTGCAAAACCATTGACACCCAAGAAACCCAGGGCACCCTGGAGGCAAGCAGGGTGTTTCTTGGCATGGGCTTCCAGTGTCTATCCTCGCCCGAGCCTATTCTCGTCCTGGCTTCGTCTTGGGCGGGCGAGGAGGAGGGGGAGGAGGAGGAGGCGGATGAGGAGGAGGCGGAGGAGGAGGAGGAGGCGGAGGAGGAGGAGGAGGAGATGGAGGGGGAGGGGGAGGAGGAGGGGGAGGAGGAGGAGGAGGAGGAGGAGGAGGAGGAGGAGGAGGAGGAAGAGGAGGAGATGGGGGACGAGGAGGAGGCGGAGGAGGAGGAGGAGGAGGGGGACGAGGAGGAGGAGGAGGAGGAGGACGAGGAGGAGGAGGAGGAGGAGGACGGAGGAGGAGGGTGCTTCCTGGCATGGGCCTCCGCTGCAGCTGCGCGCCTCGCGCCCCTCTGCGCCCGGCGAGCACCTCTCTGCCCGCCCCCCCCGCGCCTCCGGGGGCCCTGGACTCCGCCCGAGGCACCGAGCGCGACGACACAGCCTCTCCCCGCCCCTGCGGGCGACCCTTCTCTCGGCGGTGCGCACAAGGGGGTCGAGGAGGAGGAGGAAGAGGAGGAGGAGGAGGAGGAGGAGGAGGAGGAGGAGGAGGAGGGGGAGGAGGAGGAGGAGGAGGAGGAGGAGGAGGAGGAGGAGGAGGAGGAGGAGGAGGAGGAGGAGGGAGCTCCGCCGAAGGCCCCAGCGGCAGGGTCGCATGCGGGCCGCTCGGCACGGAGGTCCGAGGCCCGCCGTGGCGGCGCGCACAGGAGGGGGGCGGGGGGAGGGGGGAGGGCTCCTCGGCACCCCTGCCTCTCGGCAGGCGCCGGCCTCACATCTGCAGAGCCGGCCGCGCCGTCCAGAAGCAGGGGCCTCTGAGAAGCCCCCCCCCCTCCCCCCACCCCCCTTCTGCGCGTGGCTGACCTCTGGACGCCCGAAATGGGTACGGAAAAAATGGGCATTATGCCCAACAACCAATGTTGTCCCAAAGCAACAGCGGCCGCTGTTGGGCGGGCGGCCTCCTGTCTCGAATGGACACAAGCCGCGGCGGCGTGGACAGCGGATCCTGTTCAAAATGAACCAGATCCGCTGTTGGGCATAGTACCCATTCTTTCAGTACCCATTTCGGGCGTCCGCTCCAGGCGGCTGCCCGCGCCCCGCCCGCCCGAGCCCGCTCCGAGCCGCCGCGCACCGCCCCCCACCCCCATAGATAGAGGGCAGAAAATCCACCCGCATGGTAACCACCCCGACACGCGAAGCCTTTTGGTAGGTGCACCCAAAGAAAGAATCAAACAGGGCGGGGCTGTTTAGTAAACGCCCAGGGCCTCTTAGTAAACGCCAATGGTCCTGTCCGGGTGTGTTTACCTCCCTTGAAGAGAGGCCTCTTAGACGGGGTCGGGGCACATGGGGTCGGGGGATCGCGCCGCACCGCCGACGCATCGGCGACGTCGGCATGGGGAATGTCGGGCTCCACATCGAGCCGCATCGCCGATGCATCGGCGATGCGGCGCCATCCTGCGACCCCATCTAGGAGAACGAGACCCCCCCACCGCTCAAGGATGTGGTTTGCTCCGAACCTGCAGGGCGGGCCCTTTTCCATGTTCTGTGCGCTGCAGTCTGGGCTCTGGCCTCCGCTCTTGGTGCACTTCGGCAGCGCCCTTCGGGCCAGCTCGCCCGAGTCGGTTCTTCGCTCGCACGGGTACCTCCCTCCCTCCCACTCCGCCCGCAGCCCGCTCCGAGCCGCCGCATCATCAGCGCGTGCCCGAGCTCGTGGGTGAAGAGCAGGAGCAGGAACCCTCGGCGCCCCCCGCGGGGGCGCGAGAGGCGCGCGCGGGACGTGAAGGATGAGACGAGACATTCTCTCTCTCTCTCTCCCTCTCTGTCTCTCTCTCTCTCTCTCTCTCTCTATCTATATATATATATATAACTTACCAGTGCCCCCGATTAGCCCCACGCTGGTGCGAACTGCCTCTACCTCGCCGCCGACGGGAACAAATCGTGTTGTCGTTTTCTCTCTCTCTCTCTCTCTGCTGTCTGCTGGTCTGAAGGCCGGGCCAAGGCGTAGGGGTGGGCGCCCTGTCTGCAGCGATAGCACCCGAGGGTTCTCCTCCGGCTCGGGCCAAGGCCACGCGTGTACATTCCCGCCTTCCCTTGCACTGCGGCCCCGCGAGCAGGAAGGGGACGAGACGACGAGACGGATCGGGAGAACGAGGAGGAGGGAAGAGGAAGCGGATTTAGGGGGGCAGTTGCGAGGCACGAGTCAGCAGTGACGTGCGGAGTGCCCCACTCCTGCGCAACATGAGCAGGGAGAGAGATGGCCATCACCCGCACGCACCTGGCCTGCCATCCACCGACCCTCTGTTTCACGAGCCTGGCTCCTCACTGCCTTCCCTCCTGCTCCTCCCCGCCTCCTGCCCCCCTCCTCCCGTGCCCTCCCCTCCTCCAGGAGAAACCACTCCCTGCGCTGCAGGGCCAGACGGGTGGGTCTCCCGGTCATCGATCAGGCCCCCGCCGCGCGGGACTGTCGACCGCGCAGGAGAGCCCAGAATCGAATCGATGAGTCGGATCTGCAGTCCAAGTGAATCGGATTAGCGGACAAATCGGCAGCCGAGCTGGGCAAAGTCGAATCGGCGGAAATCGGCAGGCTGATATGCCTCCAGTAAGGAATCGGAGTCCAAATCAGAAGCCGAAGCCGAATCGAGTCGGAATCGGAAGCCATCGACATCGAACCGAACCGGATCGGAGGAATCGAGAGATGAGCCCTGGCCGTGCCGCCCATCGTACGGGTGCATCGCGTGCAGGACGCACCGCCCGTGCCAGCCAGTCCAACACCATCGTCCACCCTTAGGTCGGGCATGCCCCCCTAGAGGCGGATGTTGGGCGAAAAATGAAGCTGCAAAATGGTCAAAGACAGTCAAAACATCGTCCCCAGACTGTTGACTATGTTTGAGCACTCCCCCTGTGGAGGGCCAGGCCCGACCTCAGTCCAGCCACGCCCGGAGCTTCTCGCGCGGGGCCGCTCGCTCCACGAGCACAGTGCAGGGCTCCGCCGAGGCGCCGAGGCGCCGCGCCCCCATCTGGTGGCCGGGCTTCTCGGAGGCCGCGAGCTATCGCCCTTCGGAGTCTCGCGGCGGCGTGCTTCGCGCCGCGCGCCTGAGAGCCAGCCAAGCGGGGGGGGGGCCTGGCAGCGGATTCGCTGCACTCTGGTGGGCGATTGCGCCCCGCGCTTCACGCTCCGTGGATGCCGATTTCCGCCACGCTTGTCCGACGCGGCCTCCGCCAGACTTGTTCGGGCGCTTCTGAGGCGGAGATGTCCGCCCGACTTTTTCGCATTATTGGGGGCGCCTGTTCGACTCAATCTGGAAGTGGGAAAATCAACCGAGATTCGGTGGATTTTGGGGGGGCCTTGTCAGTTGGCGTCGTTACTCTTCAGACCTTAGGAGGCAGCTCAGAGGAGACCTCGTTAGAGCGACTAAGGACTATGAAGCCCAATTTGATGGCCACTTGGCCGGAAGAGGCCAGACTGCATGAAGCCCGGGACTGAGCCGGACACAGCGAGATTAGGCCGGATCTAGCGGGATGAAGCTGGTCTGAACCAGTTTTTTCGACCTGGGACAAACCGACAAACCAGCGCCAATTCAGAATCTAACCTCCCAGGAGTTGTTGCATCCAAACAAACCATTGGCAGAACAGGCAGAGTGACCAGCCTCGAGCTTATCCCTATCCCTGAGATCGGCAAACGCAAGGCGCTGACAACATCAGGGATATGCCTTCAGAAACGGAGGGGAATCCTTAAGATCGGCACCGAGAAAAGGAAATGCCAATCACAGGGATACGTAGGGATGTACTTCAGACTGGTAAGAGAGGGGGTGCCGAGGGCTCTCTCTTTGCTCCGAGGCGGCTCCGCCGCTCCACAGCGCGCGTGCGCGGCGCGCCCGCGCCTGCTGCGGAGGGGGGGGAGGGGACGGGCAACGGTGAGCGAGGTTCCACCAGAGCGACGATCAGAAACGGGTCTTGCGCGAGATGGCACGGCGGAGGGAGGAGGGAGGAGGGAGGAGGGAGGAGGGAGGAGGGAGGAGGGAGGAGGAGGGAGGGAGGAGGGAGGAGGAGGAGGAGGGAGGAGGAGGGAGGAGGAGGGAGGAGGGAGGAGGAGAGGAGGAGGAGGAGGAGGAGGAGGAGGCAGTGCGTGGATCGCTGCATCGCTCCACCGCTGGAGCTGATGGGCGCTCACGCGCGCGACCTCAGCGCGGGGCAGCCTGGGCGCCGACCGTCGGCGAGGACGGCCCTATTCTCTTCGTCGGCGAGGGCGAGGGGGGGGCCCTGGTCAAGCCTCGGCGGCAGTCCAGGGGAGGGGGGGGAGGAGGGAGCGGCCTCTCTCGCTCTGAGCTCGGCCAAGGAAAAAAAAAAAAAAAGATCGGCCTCTCAAGTCACATGTGTGGGGGTGGGGCCCCGTCTAAGGTCATAGTGTAGTAGGACGGGGGGCACGTTGTAGTAGGACGGGGGGGGCCTTTCAGTCATAGCATGGGTGGGAGCTCTTCCAAGGCATGGCAGGGGGGGGCCCTTTCAAGTCATGACGGGGGGGGGCCTCTCAGGTCAAAAGTGCTAGTAGGGAGGTGACTGAGCAGCCCTGATAGGTCCGACATCCGCCCCGGAGGGTCCGTTAATTTTGGCGCCCTGGGAAATCCGGGGCGGCGCGCGCCCGCCCGGGGGACGGCCCTGGGCGAGGGCGAGCGGCTCCTCAGAGGAGGGCCCCATTGGAACCTCCCGCTGGGCAGCCCCCCCCCCCCCCTCGCTCGCAGCGGGCCCCCCCCCCCCTGGGCGCGCACGACGCCGGGGGTGTAAATCAGCCCTCCTCTGCGGCCCGTAGGGGGCCGCATGCGAACCCTGCCCCCTACCCCCCACGACTTCGGAGGGGGGGGGGGTTCACTTCACTTCATTCGGGAGCTCCCGAGCGAAGTGAACCCTACCCTCCCCCTCGGAAATCGTGGGGGGGTAGGGGTAGGGCTCGCATGTGGCCCCCTAGCCCGGGAGCTTCGGGGGTTGCCGAGGGCGGGTGCCCCTGGCCCACCCAGGAGGTGCCCCCAGCTTCTCGCTCCGTGCTGGAGCTGGGCGCTCCGGGCCTCGTAACGGGGTGCTCTGGAGGCCGTCGAGGCCTCCCTGGGAATCGTGTGGGGGGGGGGGGGGGGCACCGTGGGCCGGGGGCACTTCCTGGCAGCGCCCGAGAGCTTCTGGACAGCGCAGGGGCACCTCTGGAGCCCCCCCAGGGGGGGCAAGGGCGGCCGAGGGGGGAGGCGGCTTGCGGTTTTCACGGGCAGATTCGCACACTTGGCACTTGGAGGGGGGGGGGCTTCGGACGTTCCCGGAGAAGGTGCTGAGGCTTCTGGGAGGGCCCAGGGTTTGTTCTTGTGCCTGTTTTCAACAAATTCCAATGAGGGAGGACGGATGACGAGGTAGACGAGAGAGGAGGAAGGGGGGGAGAAGGAGGGACAGGATGAGAGGGGAGGAGGATGACGAAGGAAGAGGAGGAGCAGGAGGAGGAGAAAGAGAAGGAGGACGACGACGATACTAGAGGGAGGAGAAAACGGAACGATGAGGACCTAGAGGAGGAGGATGGAGGAAGGGGGTGAAGAGAGCAGGCGGATGAGGACATGCGTAAGTAAAAAGGGACATGCTCTGTTGGCGAGCATGAGGAGGGAGACGGAGAAGAGGAGGTGAAGAGAGCAGGAGAAGGACATGCGAAGGTCAGGGAAGGTATGTTGTATTCCTGCGAGCGCCAAACGTGCCAGCTGCGGGAGTAGTGAACACACAGGGAAGAGGAGAGGTGAGGAGAAGGAGGGAGGAATGGCATGGGGAAAGACGACGACAACCGTCGACGTGGAGGAGGAGGATGAGGATGACGACCAGAGGGCAAGCTCAAGATGCATCAGCGATGCTACAGTCCACCCTCCCGTCCCAAGCCCCCTCCGCACATGTTACCGCAAGCTTTCCCTGCACTCGGCGAGAAGCCCCCCCCCTCCCCTGGGGCCTTCCCTCGAAAGACCAGCATCCCGCACGGGCCCGCCTCGCGTGCGATGCCCCCGTGTTGGAAAACGCAGCCGCCCTGTATCCTGTCCTGGCGCGCAATAAGAAGTGCGAGAGCTACGATTAGGTCGGGCATGTCCCCTTACAGGCGGATTCTGGACGACAAAACAAGTCGTGAAACGAGACTCTCCAAAATGGTCCAAAATTCCCCAGTCAGCGCTTGCACTGAAGGGGTCCTAGCGCAAATTCCCCAATCCGTGCTTGCACTGAATGGGTCATAGCGGAAATTGAAAGATTTGGCGGAACATTCCCGCCGATTCTGGTAACAGGCTGGGTTCCCGGGTTCCCGGTTCCGGGTTCCCCGGGTTCCCGGTTATCAGTCCCGGGCCGATTTCGGTGGGTCCCGGGATCCCGGGCTCCCGGGATCCCGGTCGATCCCCTCAGCGAAAACCATCCACTGATTGGGGTTCTTCTCTGGTGTAATAGTCCAAAAAACGTCCACAGACTGTGCTTTGACTAGTTTGGGATGTTCCTCCTGTAGAGGGATGGGCCCGACTCGAACACTTCGACCCCGCCGTGCCGCGAGACGTCCGGCGAGGCCCCTGGCTCCGAAGCAGGGCCTCTCCCCAGCAGCGTGCCCGTGGCACGCGTGCGTCTGCGCCGCGCGGTCCTGCAGTGCGCACGTCGGGGCAGGCCCGAGCGGGAGAGCTCAGCATCGGAGAGACGAGGAGCCCGCCATCGGCCCGCGCAGGGCCACCAGTCGGGTCGGCTGGGTCCTCCTGCAGGAGGAGGTTTGGCGGAAGAAATGCCCAACCTGACCAAAACAGAAATCGGCCCCATGCAAAGCTGGTGGGGGCATCGTCCCCAGACTGTTTGTTTCCTTTGGCTATGTTTGACTAGCCTTGGAGGCGCGCGTCCGACCCAGACATGTATGGAATACCCATCGTGTAGTACATCGTCTCCCGAGCGGTGTGGCCAGAAAGCGCCCGCCACGACGCATATACTAGAAGATTTCGAGGTGCGCGCATCACTCCTGGGGGGGGCGACGCACATGCAGTATCAGTATGTTGGGGTGACGCAGGAAAAATGCTAAACATAACCAAAGAACAAGCCATAGGCAAAACTGGTCGGATCATCGCCCCCAGACTGTTTGTTATACTATTTTTGACTCGTGCTCCTGCAGCAGGACGTGCCCGACTGCATGGTGCACGAGTGTGCGCGGCGGGCGTGCAGTTCAAGAAAGTCCCAGGACCTGGGCGCGCTGCCGGATCCCAAAGCGGCCCACGGTCCTCCATCGGCGATGGCGCTGCAAGATCTTACTGAGCGAAAACCCCGTTTCGAGCACGACCTGTGTTCCAGCCTCGCAGCCGTGGCAAGCCAGCCGAACGCTGCGCGCGGCACTGCGGCGAGAGCTGCATTTCGAAAGCGCTCACCCTCCAGTCTAGAAGCTGCTGCACAAAGTATAACACAACTGCTCGCGGCGCTGAGGCGAGAGGTCCCACTTTGGAAGCGTCGCCCTGTCCCCCATGAACCTGTTGCAACAGTCGGAACGAGTGTGCGCGGCGCTGAGGCAAGGGCCACATTCTTCAAAGGACTCGCCCTCCATACTCAACAATGCTGTAAGATTTGGCAAGGAATGCGCACAACGCTAAGGCGCGAATCCCATGTTGAAAGTTATGCCGCTCCACCCGTGCAACTGCTGCAAACTGCGTAAATCAAGTGTGCGCGGCCCCAGGGCCCGAGCCACATGTTGACAAGCACCGCCCTCAATCCTTGACGCTGTTGCAGATGTCAAGCTTCGGCATTCTGAATGGCGAGACGCCCAGCCCGCCCTACCCACACGCCTGAGGGTGGAACAGGGTGGAGTTACGCTTGAGGAGGGGGGGGCGGGAGGACGAGGCGGGATGAGAGAAGGACAGGATGGGGGGAGGAGGGAGGAGGGTTGCGACAGGGATGGAGGAGGGGATGAGGAGGAGGGATGAGGAGGAGGGATTAGGAGGAGGAGGACCAGTGTCAACCCAAGAGCCATCAACGATGTTGGAATAAACCCTCCCTCCAGACTCCCTCCCCATAGGACCCTACGGAGGTTCATGTCCACTGAGGGAATTGCCTCCTTGGAAGACAACCGCTTGAAGACCATGAAGCATGCCAAAACATTGTTCTTGGGATTCCAGCGACACGGATCAACCTGACTGTTGCGTCTTGACGATCTTGAACCGCGCCAGAACGCCCTTCCTGGGACGTCAACACCGCGAATCAACGTAACTGTTGCAGCCTCATATCCTGAGTCCTTCCAAGACATCATTTCTGGTACGTTGATCACGGGAATCCGCGAAACTCCTGCAAATTCTTCAAACGAACGTGCGCGGCGCTAAGGCGAGAGCCACATTTTGAAAAGGGGCCGCCCTCAATCCGCGAAGCGCTTGCAACTTCTTCACACGAATGTTCGCGGCGCTAAAGCGAGAGCCACATTTTGAAAAGGAACCGCCCTCAATCCGCGAAACGCTTTCACATTCTTTAGACGAATGTGAGCAGCGCTACACCGAGAGCCACCTTTTGAAATCGGACCGCCCTCCATCCGTGAAACTGTTGTCAATTTCAAGCTTCTGGGTCACAAAGAACGAGGAAGTCTCAGGTGAAACGCCCGGCCCGCGCTAAAAACTTGCCTCGGGGTGCGGCAGAAAGAAGTTACTTACAAGGGAAAGGAATGGACGAGGAGGGATGAGGAGAAGAGGGATGATGACGGATGGGGAGGAGGGAGGAGGAGGGACGAGAAGGTGGAGGAGGGATGATGATGATCATGATGATGATGATGATGCTGATGATCATGATGATGATGATGATGATGATGATGATGATGATGATGATGATGATGATGATGATGATGATGATGATGAGAAGGAGGCATCAGTGGGTGGAGGAAGGATGGAGGGGAGGAGGAGGGATGGAGGAGGCGGAAGAGAAAGCCCGATCGCCGACCGCCGGCCGTCCACGGCCGTGACACAATTCTGCGCGCGACCCCCCGCGGCTCGCCGCGGGATGAGGCGGCCCCGGCCGAGCGGCGGGAGCGCACGCGCGCGCTGATAACAACCGCCGGCGCGGGCGGTGGCTGCGCCAGGGGGGGGGGCGAAGCCCCTGCCAACGGGGCGTCAGTAAACGGGGCGGTAGCGAAGGGGCCTCCTCGGGCGAGAACGGGGCGACGGGGCCCGTACCTCGCACTTCCACGTGCTAGATCGGGCCGGCAAAAACGCCGACACATCGTCATAATTCTGGGCGGGGGGGGGTACCTCGCACTTTTTTGCCCTCTAGATCAAGCTTTTGAAAGCGCCGTTGAGAACGTACCCTTAGCTACCGGTCCGTTTACTGACGCCCCGTTTGTAGGGGCTTGGAGGGGGGGTGGGGGCCCACTGGGGAAGGCTGCGGGGGCCCCAACATCGGCGGCGAGCGAGAGGCGGGAAGTTTCGGGTGCGAGGCTTGAGGCTTCCGTGCGTTCTCGTCGGTGCCCGGCGGTGTTCCAGCCTCGGGATGCGTCCCAGCGGCTGCGCCTCGCCGAGAGCGTTCGGGAGGTGCTGGGACCGCCCCTAACGGCCGCCGGAGACCGGAACGATGGCCGAAAGAACATATTCGGCGGCGCGCCTGGGGGGGGAAGGGAGAAGGATACGGTGGAGGCCAGCCCACAAGAAACTTTCCTAAAAAAAACAACCCTGAGACCCCAGAACGTCCAATGATTTTGGTGTGGGAATGTCGCACCCTCCATCGCAAAACCATCGAGTCCCAAGAAGCCCAGGCCACCCTGGAGGCAGGCAGGGTGCTTCGTGGCAGGGGCCTCCGCTGCAAGGCCTCCTCTTCAGAAGACAGCGGGGCTTCTCGGAAGGCCTGCACCCTTCTGGGAGGTCTTCTGCGTCTTCGGGGGAAGGAGGAGGAGGAGGAGGAGGAGGAGGAGGAGGAGGAGGAGGAGGAGCGGGCTTCCCAGCCTTCTCAGGAGGCCCGCCCTTTCTCACTGCTGCCCCGGGGCCAGCCGCCGACGGCAGATCCTCCTCCCGCTCCCCCCCAAGTGCACGCAGCTCCCCTTGCCCGCCTGCACCCAGCACGAAGTGGTCTCTCTGTGGGAATCTCGCAGGTCGGTTATGACACGCGTCCGTGGATGGAGACAGCTCAGCGCCGCGGGAGGGGATGGGAGGGAGGGATGGTATGTGATGTCAGGTAAGGCGCGAGCGCACCCAGCTGGTCACCCTACACCTCTCCCCTTCCCCCCTCTTCCCATCCTCCCCGTCATCCTCCGCCCTGAGGCGGGAGGAGGGAGGAGGGAGGAGGGAGGGAGGAGGGAGGGAGGAAGGAGGAGGGAGGAGGAGGACGAAGAGGAGGAGGAGGAGGAGGAGGAGGAGGAGGAGGAGGAGGAGGAGGAGGAGGAGGAGGTGGAGGAGGAGGAGGAGGAGGAGGAGGAGCCCCCCTCCCCGCGTGCTCCTCCTCCTGCTTCCGTTCCTGCTCCTCCTCCTCCCGCTGCTGCGCAGCCTCCCTCTGCGATGCCAGGAGACACCAAAATCGAATCGATAAGTCGGATCGGCGATCGAGATGGATCGGATCGGCGGAAATCGGCAGCCGAGTCGGGAAAAGTGGAATCGGCGGAAATCAGGAGGCTAATATGCCTCCAATGAGAAGTCGGACCCCAAATCGGAATCCCAAGTCGAATCGAATCGGAATCGGAAGCCATCGAAATCGAATCGAATCGAATCGGAGGAATCGAAACGAGCCCTGCTATGCTGCCAAGGAGGGCCACATCGAGGCATATCGGTGGCCCCCCCCCCCCCCGAGAAGTGCAAAGAGCAGAGCGAAGGACTGTCGGACCCAGTCTCCCTGAGCTGCGAGGTTCGGGTCGGGCGAAAGGGGGGGATAGCAAAGGGGGGGTTTGAGAATCAGCTCACGTAGCTGATTTTACCGGCGCCTCCCGGCGCCAGGAGGCGCCCATGTATCGAGGAATGGGTCCGGCGGCGGGGCCGAAACCAGCTGCATGTAGCTGGTTTCGTAACCCCCCCTTTCCCAAACCCCCCCTTTCGCCCGACCCGAGAGGTGAGCGTGTCTTTATTCGGCGCTTCCACATTGGGCGGACGGGGGGGGGGGAGGGGGGGTGGGTCTGGCTCCGGACCCCTGCCTAGTGCGACTGTTTGGGACCAGGCGTCCTCTGGGGGGGACTCCACCCGCTCGAAACAGCCAAGATCTACTCCATTGGGGGGGGGAGGGGGGGGGGGGGCGAGGGCCCACGCCGACAAGCAAAGCAATGAGTAAAAAACGATCACGAGACGGAACAACAAGCTGGATCGAAGTGGCTAAGTGGAGGCGACTTCCCACCGAGAGGAGGCCCAGAGGGCGTGGAGGCGCACAAGCCTGAAGGCCCGGAGAGGTGCAGCGGAGGAGGAGGCACAAAAGGATGAGACGAGGGCCGCCGATGTTCTGGGAGATGGATCCTCCTCGGACAGCTTCTGCTTGGGTGGGGGTTCTCCCCCTGCCCCTGCGTCTGCAAAATCATCCTGCTCCCTGTCCCCCTGCGAAAGCACATCGCCCTGCGAAAAGCGCTGAAGCTTGACCCATCCGAAGCCATTCTCCAGGATGCGTTGCGTGGCGCAGTGGGCGCCCCCCCCTGGCAGTGGAAGCTAACCGTCCGTGTCGGCGCAACAGCACCTAGCGCCTACTGTGCTCTCATCTTCAGAGCGTTCATCAAAATCTGCAGCCCATCGGTCGGCGACGTGAGGATGGACTCTGGGTGGAACTGCACGGCGGTTATGGGCTTCGTCTTGTGCCTGATGCCCATGATGATCGGCAGGTCGCCGCTCACCTGCAGCATTTTTGTATGCAAGGAGCCGCTCTTTACCAGGCAGCCGAAGCCTGTGCCAGCGACCACGGGGCTGCCGACACCACAGAGACGAACAAATGAACGAACGAGTGGACAAAGTGCTATCGCCGCAGGAGGGCGACCCAGAGGTGGGAGACAGGCGTGCGCGAGCACGGTGGCCCTTCGGAAGAAGGACCTGGAGAACATCCAGCGCACGCGCACTTGGCGGCGCGCACGAGGGGGTGGAGGGAGGGGGGAGGGCTTCTTCGAAGGAAGATGCTTCTTAGAAGGCGCCGGCCTTACATCTACAGACAAGGGCCGCGCCTTCTGAGAAGCAGGGGTGCTCCTGCGAAGCCCTCCCCCCTCCCCCCCAGCCACCCCTCCTGCGCGTGCCAGACGCGCTCTCACCTCCGCCGTGATGTCCACGACGTCCTCTTCGACGGGAGACGAGAGCAGCACGCCCGGAACACGGAGGCCGAGGCCACGCCGCCGCAGGGCTGCGGCCCTCCCTCCCCTCCTCGGTTACAGGGGCCCTGGGACACACAAACAAACAGGCACAGATAGCAGGATTCCCCCTGTTTCCCCATAGCTCCTGGGTTTTCGTCTTCCCCCCCACTTCCCATATTTTCCCATATTTTCCTGGGAATCGGCGGTGAAGTGTGTCTGTGTGTTTCTTTCCCTCCTGACTCAATTCCCTCCCCTCCCCCCCTCGCACAGATCTGCGGGCCGCTGGCGCGCCTCCTTGCTCTCGTCCACCGCCACCGGCTGCCCGGAGATGTACGCGGTCTCCACCAGGCACTCTGGCAGAGGCCTCTTGGCGTACAGCGAGTGGTACCGCGCCACCCCAAATGTGTCGGGGATGTCCTTGAACGCGGCAGCGCCTGACTCAGACGAAAAAAACACATATGCATGAATGTGCGGCGCTCCGCGCGGATTTCTTAGACTCGCGCTGGACCCCCCCAAGGGCGGCGGAGGCGCTGCCGGCGGGGGCCCGGGCGCGAATCCAAGAAACCCGCTCGGAGCGCCAAGAAGTTATGCCTACGTGGCTCTCTCCTCTTCGAACGCGGGCCCGAGGCCGATGCGCGGATCACAGCTCGCACGTGCTCCGCCCCAGTCCTCCCCCTCGCTCCCGCTGGATGAAGGGGCCCTGGGACACACAAATAAATACACACAAATAAAAAGATTCCCCATATTCTCCTATATTTTCTGGGTTTTTGTCTTCCCCCCCACTGCCCATATTTTCGCATATTTTCATGGGGATCGACGATTAATTGTGTCTGTGTGTTTTTTCCCCTCCTGACTGGAGTGCGCCCGGGGGCGCCGGGAAGGAGGCAGGGCCTCCGGGGCCGGCGCCACGGACGCCCGCGCGGATGCCGTGGGGCGCGCCAGCGCACGCCTGGTGCGGGCCTGGCGCCGACCTGCCGATCACCGGACACGCTGTATGCAAATGAGGGCCGCACTGCACAGAAGGAGGAGGAGGAGGAGGAGGAGGAGGAGGAGGAGGAAGGACACACACACACACACATACAAACACACACACGCACACACACACACACGCACACACGCACACACGCACACACGCACACACGCACACACACACACACACGCACACAAATACTTTGCGAGGGCAACGCACGCTGCAGACACGGAGGGCGCGACACGTGACAGACAGGACACAAAAGGTACCCTCGATGTTGCGGGGCCGACCTGCTACACGCCGGAAGGAGTGGGTACAAACAGAAGATAGGAAAGCGGATCAAGTAGATTGGCTTCAGGCCCTCCCACATAACTACAACCACACAGCAGAAGCGCATCGACTCTTGAATTAGGAATGTGGCTAAAATAGATTTGGATCTGAGAATTCAAAGCACCTACTCTCAAGGGAGGAAGAACAAGAGACAAAAAACAAAAAACATGAACTCTCGGCGCTCCGTCCGATTTCTGGGATCTGCGCTGGACCAATCCTCCCTGGCGCGCGAAGCGCGCCACGGGCGGCGCCTGAGGCGCCGCCGGGGGGTCCAGCGCGGATCCAAGAAATCCGCGAGAGCGCCAAAAGTTTGTTTATAGCATTTGTTCTTCTTCTTCGATTGAAATAGGAAGGCGCCCTCTTCTTCCTCCTCCTCCTCCTCCTCCTCCCCCTCCAAACTTTCTCTCTCTCTCTCTCTTTTGTTTTCTCTCTCTCTCTCTCTATTAGTGTATGCGTGTGAGGCCCTGACTCAGACTCAGATATCTACGTCTGAGGCTCTGACGAAGCCCCTCGCTCACTCAGTACTCTGCCAGAGACGCCTGCTGCTGCCTAGGCCGACTTTTGTTCTCCTGTTGCTGCCGCTGCCCGCCTCCGCCGTCATGAGACAAGACAGGCGCTGCAGGCTCAAAAGCCGTGTCTTTCGGCGGCGAGCGAGGGGGGGAAGTGAGAAGGAGAAGGCCTTCTCAGAAGGCTCGGAAGTCCCCCGGCATTCTGAGAAGTTGTCTAAGCCTTCCCCAAAAGACAGAACAGCAAAAACTCTCAGAAGGCGCGAGGGCTTCTCTGAGAAGTCCCACCGCCTTCTGAGAAGACCTTCTCCTTCTCACTTCCCCCCCAGGCGCGCCGTCGAACTTGGTTTTTGGCTCAGAACTCGGGTCTCCGGCGGCCGTTCGGGGTGATCCCGGCACCACCGGAACACTCTCGGCGACGCGCAGCCGCTGGAACGCATCCCGATGCTGGAAAACCGCCGAGAACCGACCGAAAACACTCGAAAACCTCGAACCCGAAACATTCCCCTCGCCGCCCCCCTCTTGCCCGCCAGCCGCCCCGAGCCTTCTTTGGTGACCGAGGCCTTGCTTGGCTTCCCGTGCATCGGGTAGTGCAGCTGCCCCAGCTCGCCCCCGAAGTACTCCACGAGGCTCTGCAGGCCCAGGCAGACCCCGAAGATGGGAATGTCCCGGTCGAGCCTCGGCCGTGCCTCCTCTCGACCCCTGCCCTCCTCCTGTCCTCGACAGTCTCCCTCCCCCCCCAGCCTTCACCCTCCAATGCTTCCCCCCCCCCCCTCCTCGTCCTCCTTTCCGATTCTCTTGCCATCCTCCCTTCGCCCTCGTCCCTCCTCCTTGCGCCTTCCTCCTCCCTCCGCCTCCGTCCTCCTCCCTCCTCCTCATCCCTGCTTCCCTCCTCCTCCGCCATCTCCGCTTCCATCCTCCTCCTCCACCCCCACCCTCCTCCTACCCCAATCCTCCTCCTCGTTGGCTCCCCTCTCCCCTCCCGTTTCCACCCCTTCCTCCCCTTCCCCTCCGCTCCAACATCCCACAAACTGCCGATGTTGGCGAGAAGCTATGCGGATCGCGCCACATCACGTGTGCAAAGCTAACGACTGCGATCACGACCACGACGCCACGACGACCATGACGACGACCATGACGACGGCAACGACGACGACGACGTCGACGAGCGCAACGACAATCACGACCACGACCACATGGACGATGACAAACACAACATCAATCATTCTAAGACTGCTCGCTCTTACCTGCTCGCGTGCCGTTCAAAATGCATCCCAAACCCTCCATACCGGCCCTCTTCGTCTTCGAGCGTGCTCCCTTAGGGGGTTATCTTCCTCACCTGCCACGTGTAATTGGTGCAGCCCCTGAAACAAGAGAAAAAGGGACGGATGTAAGACGGTGGGCAATCATAAAGCAAGAGAGAGACTAGCAGGAGGGAGGCCAGGAACAGAGCACATGTGGCACTCGCAATCGTAATCGTAACCGTAGTCATGGTCGTAGTCGTCGTCGTCGTCGTCGTTGTTGTGCGGCGGGCGCCGCGGATCAATACTTGGTTGTCACTATTGATGGGGCTTTGTTCGCCCATGAAGTCTCCGAACATATGGTTCGTTTGCATCTATTGGGGCTTGGGGGATTCCGAAGACCTATCGCGTTTACCTCAGATGCCTCGTGTAACGCCTTCGCTTCTATCTGCAAGACCTTCACCGTGTCAGTGCCCAGAAGGTTGGCAACCTTTTCGAGCAACGTGCCGTCACGATCTGGAGTGCTAGGCCACGCAATGGAATGCACATCTAGACGGGGTGGCGAAACATCATCGAAACCAACCTTTTTCTGCCAAGAACTACGACGGCGCTGACGTTGGTTGCGCTCCCCTCCCAACAGCGTCGCCCCTATCACACGGGAAAGGAAGAAGCCCCTAAAACAGGGGACGCCCCTAAACCACGAGGTGGGATAAGCCCCCGAAACAGGGGACGCCCCGACGATGCATGGTCGGCGCAGCCCCTGGAGCCCAGGAAGGGAGGAGGGAGGGGACTAGGGGTCGAGAGAGGGATGGAAGGAACACAACAGAAATTAGCAGGGCGGGCAAATGCACAGTTTCCCCCGGGGCCGTGGTCGACCCGAGGAGGAGGAGGAGCAGGAGGTGGAGGAGGGGGAGGAGGAGGAGGAGGAGGAGGAGGAGGAGGAGGAGGAGGAGGAGCGAGGAGCGAGGAGGAGGAGGGGAGGGAGGAGGGAGGAGGAGGGAGGATAGGGGGGAGAGGAGGAGGAGGGAGGAGGAGGAGGAGGAGGAGGAGGAGGAGGAGGAGGAGTGACCGAGGAGTGACCCATGAGGACCCTGTCCCTGTCCAAAGGCCCCTGGAGTGCAGAAGGAACACGAGCCTTCGCACGTCCAGGGCAGCGCGCCCTGTGCAGGAGGAGGAACACGAGCCTCCGCACAGAGCCGAGGCGCAGGAGGAACACGAGCCTCCGCACCCCTAAACATCGAGCCCAGGCGGCGCAGGAGGAACACGTGCCTCCGCGCCGCCAGGGAAGCACGCCCGGTGCAGGAGGAACACGAGCCTCCGCGCCGAGCCGAGGTGCAGGAGAAACACGAGCCTCCGCAACTCGCGGGGCGCAGGAGGAACGCGAGCCTCCGCACCCCGAGCGCGCGAGATCAGACCATCACCCCGCGGCCGTCGAAGACGAACGCGACCTGCCTGAGCTCCCGAGAACAGGACCCCGACCTGGCCGACGAGCGCCGCGACCTGACCAGCCGTAGCCGATCCTTGCACGGTGCCTGGCCTCGGCGTCCTTCATGGCCTCCATGGCAATCTCCTGCGCCCGCGGCGGGAGGCCCAGCAATAACTTCGGCGCCTCCACGCTGTTCCCGAAGCCTGCTGCGACGTTCTTCACCATGTCGTCGCACACCTTGTCGGCCGAGGGGTCCGAATGCTCCGCCTTCTGCACGTCGGCGTCCCTTTCGACGTGCGCCAGCATCGGCACCTCCACCTTCTCCTCGGCCTTCTTCGGCGCCAGGAGATCCTTCTCGACGAGGTGCGTCGACGACACGTCCACCTCCACCTTCGGACCGTGAGCGAACCTCTCGACGTGCTCTGTAATCGGCGGCTTCATGATCGCCACGACCTCCTTCTCCTCGACGACCTGCATGTCCTCGATCTTATCCTGGGAGTCACCACCCAGCACATCCTTGCACTCGTCCGCATTGTCCTGCACGATCGGGGGGAACGCCTCGCGCCATGCGCCAGGCCCAGCACCAAAGCGATGGTGGGAGGCCTGGTTGCGCAGCTTCCTGACGCTTCCAGGGATGCTGGCGCGAACCCCGTGCCCGCCTGCCTGGACGTGCTACTGGATGACGGGCTCGATTGCCTTCATCCTTTCCTTCGTCTCGACCTGTTCGTCGGGCGGCTCCGCGATACCCTGCAGCACTTCCGCCGCCACGCGGACACACGCCGCCGCCGCCGCAGCCACCGCTGCACGTTGACCTCCGCCTGCAGCGCCCCGCATGACGCCCTCGACGATGATCGCGAGTTCCGAACTCGAGACCCCCATGGCTGGACGCGCGCCGCCAGGCGGGGGGAAGACCGCAGCACTTGAGCCAAAATGGCTACGGAGGAGGAGGAGGAGGAGGAGGAGGAGGAGGAGGAGGGAGGAAGTGGAGGAAGAGAGAGGACGGGTCGCCAAAGCTCTTCGGAGAAGCCCTCCAGGCGGCAGAAGCGGACGGGCGGGTCGGGGAGGAGCAGGCCGGGCGGGGCGGGCCATAGGCGGCGGGGGCGAGCGGGCGAGGCGCGGAGGCGTCGGTGCCGCGCGAGTCGCGAGGAGGTTTCTAGCGACAGCGCTGGGTCGGGCCTGTCCCCACACATGGGGATTTTGGACGGAAAGGAAAAGTTGTCAGCACACACACCCGAATTCCCTAGAAGTATCAGAGAAACTTAGCCTGACGAAGGACCCAACCATGTGCAGGTGTGAATACCGCAGTTGACACTACCAATTTCGGCGGGGCTCCCTATGGAGCCACGAAACGTGTGAAGGGGATGGGTGTGCGGGACGCATGCGGGCGGCAGCACTGGGGCCTTCGGTGGAAGTCCCTATGGGGCCACGAAACGTGTGAGGGAGTTGACGAAATGGGTGTGGCTGACGCATGCGGGCGCGGGCACTGGGGCCTTCGGTGGAGTTCCCTATGGGGCCACGAAACGTGTGAGGGGTGTGCCGAAATGGGTGTGGCTGACGCATGCGGGCGCGGGCACTGGGGCCTTCGGTGGAGCTCCCTATGGGGCCACGAAACGTGAGGGGTGTGACGCATGCGGGTGCCTTCGGTGGAGCTGGGTGTGAGGGGTGTGCCGAACGCATGCGGCGCGGGCACTGGGGCCTTCGATGGAGCTCCCTATGGAGCCACGCGTGTGAGGGGTGTGCGAATGGGTGTGGTTGACGCATGCGGGCGCGGGCACTGGGGCCTTCGGTGGAGCTCCCTATGGAGCCACGAAACGTGTGAGGGGTGTGCCGAAATGGGTGTGGGTGACGCATGCGGGCGCGGGCACTGGGGCCTTCGGTGGAGCTCCCTATGGAGCCACGAAGCGTGTGAGGGGTGTGCCGAAATGGGTGTGGGTGACGCATGCGGGCGCGGGCACTGGGGCCTTCGGTGGAGCTCCCTATGGAGCCACGAAACGTGTGAGGGGTGTGCCGAAATGGGTGTGGGTGACGCATGCGGGCGCGGGCACTGGGGCCTTCGGTGGAGCTCCCTATGGAGCCACGAAGCGTGTGAGGGGTGTGCCGAAATGTGTGTGGCTGACGCATGCGGGCGCGGGCACTGGGGCCTTCGGTGGAGCTCCCTATGGAGCCACGAAACGTGTGAGGGGTGTGCCGAAATGGGTGTGGGTGACGCATGCGGGCGCGGGCACTGGGGCCTTCGGTGGAGCTCCCTATGGAGCCACGAAGCGTGTGAGGGGTGTGCCGAAATGGGTGTGGGTGACGCATGCGGGCGCGGGCACTGGGGCCTTCGGTGGAGCTCCCTATGGAGCCACGAAACGTGTGAGGGGTGTGCCGAAATGGGTGTGGGTGACGCATGCGGGCGCGGGCACTGGGGCCTTCGGTGGAGCTCCCTATGGAGCCACGAAACGTGTGAGGGGTGTGCCGAAATGGGTGTGGGTGACGCATGCGGGCGCGGGCACTGGGGCCTTCGGTGGAGCTCCCTATGGAGCCACGAAACGTGTGAGGGGTGTGCCGAAATGTGGTGGGACGCATGCGGGCGCGGGCACTGGGGCCTTCGGCGGGCTATGGAGCCACGAAACGTGTGAGGGGTGTGCCGAAATGGGTGTGGGTGACGCATGCGGGCGCGGGCACTGGGGCCTTCGGTGGAGCTCCCTATGGAGCCACGAAACGTGTGAGGGGTGTGCCGAAATGGGTGTGGCTGACGCATGCGGGCGCGGGCACTGGGGCCTTCGGTGGAGCTCCCTATGGAGCCACGAAACGTGTGAGGGGTGTGCCGAAATGGGTGTGGGTGACGCATGCGGGCGCGGGCACTGGGGCCTTCGGTGGAGCTCCCTATGGAGCCACGAAACGTGTGAGGGGTGTGCCGAAATGGGTGTGGCTGACGCATGCGGGCGCGGGCACTGGGGCCTTCGGTGGAGCTCCCTATGGAGCCACGAAACGTGTGAGGGGTGTGCCGAAATGGGTGTGGGTGACGCATGCGGGCGCGGGCACTGGGGCCTTCGGTGGAGCTCCCTATGGAGCCACGAAACGTGTGAGGGGTGTGCCGAAATGGGTGTGGGTGACGCATGCGGGCGCGGGCACTGGGGCCTTCGGTGGAGCTCCCTATGGAGCCACGAAACGTGTGAGGGGTGTGCCGAAATGGGTGTGGCTGACGCATGCGGGCGCGGGCACGAGGGAGGATGGGGGCAGCGGGAGGAAGGAGACGCGGGGCACCGTCTTTTCAAAACGAAGACCCAGCACCACAGGATGGTTGGGGAAATTATCCTGGCGAAGGACCCAACCATGTGCAGTTGTGAATATCGCATTGCTGGTGCCGCTTTCGGTGGAGCTCCCTGTGGGGCCACGAAACGCCGTGCTGGGTGGGGGTGACGCATGCGGGCGGCACCACTGGGGCCTTCGGTGGAGGTCCCTGTGGGGCCACGAAACACTGTACTGGGCGGGGGTGACGCATGCGGGCGGCACCACTGGGGCCGTCGGTGGAGCTCCCTGTGGGGCCACGAAACGCTGTGCTGGGTGGGGGTGGCGCATGCGGGCGGCACCACTGGGGCCTTCGGTGGAGCTCCCTGTGGGGCCACGAAATGCTGTGCTGGGGTGGGGGTGACGCATGCGGGCGGCACCACTGGGGCCTTCGGTGGAGGTCCCTGTGGGGCCACGAAACGCTGTGTTTGGTGGAGGTGCCGAAATGGGTGTGCGGGACGAATGCGAGCGGTGGCACTGGGGCCTTCGGTGGAGCTCCCTATGGGGCCACGAAGCGTGCGAAGGGTGTGCCGAATGGGTGTGGCTGACGCATGCGGGTTGGGGCCACGTAGCGTGTGAGGGGGGTGCCGAATTGGATGTGGCTGACGCATGCGGGCGGCGGCACTGCGGCCTTCGGTGGAGCTCCCTATGGGGCCACGAAACGTGTGAGGGGAATTGGGTGTGGCTGACGCATGCGGGCGGCAGCACTGGGGCATTCGGTGGAGCTCCCTATGGGGCCACAAAACGTGTGAGGGGTGTGCCGAATTGGGTGTGGCTGACGCATGCGGGCGGCAGCACTGGGGCCTTCGCTGAAGCTCCATACGGGGCCACGAAACGTGTGAGGGGTGTGCCGAATTGGGTGTGGCTGACGCATGCGGGCGGCAGCACTGGGGCCTTCGGTGGAGCTCCCTATGGGGCCACGAAACGCTGTACTGGGTGGGTGAAACGCAGGGAGGAGGGGGAGGAGGGAGGGGGAAGAGGAGAAGTGGAGGAGGAACGCGGGGACCGTCTCTTCAAAACGAGGACCCAACACCACAGGATGGTTGGGGAAAAAAACGTCGCCTGACCATTTTGTACTGTTTTTGAATGTTCCTCCTGCAGGGGGACAGCCCCGACTTAACTCTAGCGACAGCACGAGTCCCAAGAAAATAATCAGGGAATTCAGGGCGAGATCGTGATTCCTGGGTGTTGGCGGCACGGCATGTCACATTACGCGAAGTGCAACGCGAAAGACACAATTCTCGGATACAGTGTAAGGAGATCCCGCGCGATAGCGTGTTTGAATGGACTGTGAAGAAATATCAAGCGGGAGCGGTTGGTGTTGCAGTTCGGGGGCCAACAACCCAATCTGACGCGAAAGACTTCCCATTGTAGAAAACAAGGTGCGAACCCCGGGAGGAGCACTTGACTTGAAAAACGCAGTGGGCAACAAAGGGGGGACCAACAATCATTCTTTATGAATGAGAATTCGACGACGGCAACGACGGCGGCTGCGGCGGCGGCGACGATGGCGAAGAAGGAGTTGGACGAAAGCTGGGGTCCCGAGAGAAGTGCGGCGCCGAGGGGTGGCTGGGGGCCAGACAACCGCCGAATGTGGGCGTCGGTGCCGAAATCCGACGGGCGCCCGGGCCCCGGGGACAGGATCGCGAGGTCGATTTTGGCCATCTGCTTCATCGCCTCCTCCACCCTGCGGGTCAAGCTGCGGAGGAGGGAGGGGGAGGGAGCAGAGGCCAAATGAGGCAGAACGTGCGGGGATGAGGGAGGCTGTGGGAGGAGGAAGGGGAGGAAGGGCAGATGAGAGAGGCTGAGGAGGTTACAAAGGGAGGAGGGTGTAAGAGGAACGACGGGGGTGGAAGGAATGGGTGAATGAGGAAGTACGGGACAAAGATGCAGGCGGCAAGCTGAGGAGGGTATACGAGGCGCAGAGCGATGAGAAAACCGATCCAGGAGGAGGAGGAGGAGGAGGAGGAGGAGGAGGAGGAGGAGGAGGAGGAGGAGGGAGGGAACCGGAGAAGGGGGAGAAGAAGTCAGAGGACAAGGGGGAGGACGGCGGAGGAGGCAGGAGTGGGGAGGGCAGGGGCCACAGGATCAGGACGGGGAGGTCGGTCGGTCGGACGCGGCACTCAAGCAGTCCGCGTGCCGATCATCGGTTGACTTCCCCAGGGCCAGGGTAAGAACGGCGTGCGCGGCCCTGCCCGCCCGCCCACCCCCCCGAAGCGGTGGGCGGCACCCGGCACTGGGACAGCTGGCGGCTCGCAGGGGGGGGGAGGAGGGGGGGGAGGAGGGAGGGCAGCGGGCGGGAGGAGGGGTGAGGAGGCGGTGGGCGGAGAAGGGGGAGGGGGGAAGGAGGGAGGGGAGCGGAGGGGGCAGGGGGGGCGGCAGGGGGAGGAGGGAGGAGGGAGGATGGAGGAGGGAGGAGGGAGGAAGGAAGGAGGGAGGGAGGGAGGGCGGGCGGGCGGCAGGCGGAGGAAATACATGCGGGAGGGGGAGGATGTGCTGCCAGCGGGCGAAGGAGAACAGCCTCCGCAGAATCGGCTGCCCCCCCCCCCCCCCCGACGCAGCCCCATTTTGTTTTGTTGATTTGCTTCCGCTGCCCTTCCTCCGGGTTCAGCTGGGCAGAACCTGCTCCCCCGCACCCTCGTGGTTCCTCCTCCTCCTCCTTCTTCTCCTCCTCCTCATCCTCCTCCTCCTCTTCCTCTTCCTCCTCTGGGCATTTGGCGTCTCGAAGAGATCGAGACGGCCGGTTTACTGGAACTGTGGACCACACCTAACACGACTTAAGATGAACAACCTACACCCGGAACAAAATCGACAGGTCCTGCGGTCCATTCAAGCTGCCGTATGTCTGGGCCTCCCTCCGCCTCTTCCTCACTACTACTCCAGCGCCGTGCAGCATCAATGGTTAGCGAAGGCGCATGGCAAACGTGGGCCTTCCGCCTCCCCACCCAGGCAGTTTACAAGCAAACTCCTCGCCTAGTACACATCTCCGGGGAACCCCCAATGATGTTATTCGTCCTCGTCGTCACCCTCCCCCCGCATCATCCCTATCTTTATCGTGTGCTGTTTGTTGTTGTTTCTCTATGTATCTCTATATCTCTCTCTCTCTCTTTGTTGTTGCTATCTCTCGCTATCGCTAAATAGTTGTGTTGTTTATCGCTCTATCTCTCTCTGTATCTCCCTTTCTCTCTCTCTCTCTCTTTCTTGTATGTGTATATGTATATATGTATATATACATAGGTTTGTGTATACAAAGACATTCATGTATATGTATGCGCAAGCTCGCCTGCGCGGGCCCCAAACAATGTGTATTTAGCAAATCACTTTTGTGTAACGTGCGATGTGCAATCAATGTGGTGCCACCCCCGTGGTGCAATCTGCGTGGTGAAAAAATGGTACACTCAACGTGATGCAGTATACGGTGTGCACTATAGGTGGCACAGGTTGTGCAATCCATGTTGTGGAATCGATGCGTCTGGAACTATGGTGAGCAAACTTTGTTGTGCACTCTATGTGATGCGCCCCACGCGGTGCAAACCAATTTGCGCAATCTAAAGTGCGCAATCTACGTGGTGCAACCGATGCGACGCAACTCACTGCCAAACTTGAAGTTGTCAACTCAACTGCTCGCACAAACATCCCACCCACCCGCAACTTGGTTTGCAAAATCTCTTAAGACCATGACGGTACCAAATGGCACTTGGCAACGACAGCGGTTTCTCATTTCGGGGAGGGGCCCGCTCGGATTATTGGACAGCATTGGAAAATTGGTAAATTGGAATATTGGACACTGTCCAATCCAGATGTCCAATATTGGACCTGGGGTCCAATATTGGATTTGGGTCCAATATTAGACCCTGGTTCCGAGACTACTCTGAATTTCCAATCCGCCTTTTCCTCCTCTTCCCCTTCCTAATCCGCCTATTCCTCCTCCCTCCTCCATCCTCTTCTCCACCTCCCCCTCCCCCTCCCCTCCCCCTCATATTCCTGTTCCTGCTCCTCCTCCCCCTCTGCTTCCTCCTCCATCCTTCCCCTGTTGGGGTATGGCGGCTTCCCATCGCTTGGTTCCACTGCATGCTTCTTCACATCCCTGATCAGGGCAACCCGCGTGGGCATTACTTCTGAATGGGCTTGTAGGGGCAACGCGACGCATTTAGAATATCGCGTTCTTTCTGCACCGCCGCACACACTGTTCAAACTGCGACAAGATATATGAATGAACGACATGTCGCAGATCGATCCAATCGTTTGCAAAACCGTGTCGAATAAATCCCCATCCCCATGGGAGGAGGGAGGCCGCCGGATGCCTCGTATGTCGCACCGTGACGACGTTGGCGCCGGTCTGGCGCACGTAGTTCGCTAGAGTGTGCACAAAGGAGTCTTCGAAATCAATGAGCAACACCTGATGCGCTGCAGAAGGAAGCAGAGGCAAACAGCACCGCTACCTCTGCATCCTCCGTTGCTGGTGCAGTAGGGGCCCGACCACAAGAAGCCTTCCACAAGAATCCAAACCCTGAGACCCCAGGACGTCCATTGGTTTTGGGTGCAGGAACGTCACGCTCTCGACAGCAAAACCATCGAAACCCAAGGAACCCAGGGCACCCTGGAGGCGGGCAAGGTCTTTCTTGGCATGGGTCTCCAATGTAGGGGCAAACAGCACCGCTACCACCGCATCCTCCGCTGCTGGTATGGCGAAGAAGGACGTCGAGCGGAATGAACCAATCGGTGAACAAACCAATGGCCAAAGGGGACTGGTTGCCTTTCGGCGCAAGAAGTCACAGAAGGCCGTTTGGCAACACGCAGAGAGGTTGCACAATGAGAAGTGGCCCGCACCACTACCCATGAGGAGGATGGGAATGAAGAGGCCGTGGATAAGGAGCAGAGAATGGACATGCACCATGAGACCTTGTGGGGGGAAGAGAAGAAAGTGGAGGAAGGATAGCGAGAACACGGACGAATACGCGGAAGAGGAGCAGGAGGACGAAGGAGATTGTGAACATGCTTGACGGGAGGAGAAGGTGTACCCCTCTCGCCCAAGATACGAGTAACACCCAGGATCGACTATATGGGAACGAGCAATGACATAAACGTGACAGCTCGGAGGTCCGCGCGTATGTCTCGGATCGGCGCTGGACCCTCCCTCCCTGGCGCACGGAGCGCGCCAGGAGCAGAGCCGGAGGCGCCGCCAAGGGGCCCCAGCGCCGATCCGAGCGATCCGCGCGGAGCTCCGAGTTTGTACGTTGATGTCATTCTCTGTTCCCCGAGACTGCAGTCCGACCCAGGCCAGAAGAACATCCCTCAAGAACATGAGACCCTCCGCCGGCCAAAACGCACAGAACAGAGCAGAAAATCCACACCGATCATGACCACCCCGACACTCGAGGCCTTTAGTAAACGCGCCCAAAGAAGGAATCGAACAGGGCAGGGCTGTTTGGTAAACGCCCAAGGCCGTTTAGCAAACGCCAATTGTCTGGTCCGGGTGTTTTTTCCTCCCTTGACAGAATGTGCAAGGCTCCCCAGGATGCACAAGAACACCCAACAGACACGACGAACATTAAGGGGTAACCTCCCCGAGCTGAACTCGATCTTGTACCTCGATCTTGTAACAGTAGGCGACGCCGCCGCGCCGCGGCGCCTACTGTTAGGTCGGGCCTGTCCGCCTGTCCCTCTACAGGGCGCATCTTGGACGAAAAATGAAACATACCAAGAAAAATACCCAAAAATGGCAAAGCATTATCGCAACATCGTCCACCGACTATGCTTTTACTATTTTTGAATATTCCTCCTGAAGAGGGACAGGCCCGACCTAAGCCTACGGCCTCCCACCCCCCTCCAAGAAGAGGACGGCGCCGACGCCGCGGCCCCGCGCCGACGACCACCGTCGAGACCCGCCGCCGACGCCGCTCGCTGAAGAGGCCGACGACGCCGACGACGTCGACGACGACAAGTACGACGACGACGAGTACGACGACGACGGCGACGACGCCGACGCCCAAGAGGCCGACGACGCCGGCGTGCGCAAGGCGACGACCTGAGACATCTGGCAGATGCCTTCGATGCGGGGTGCCCGCAGGTCATCGACCCCTCTCCGCCGAGCATCTGCAACTCCTACAGCAGTTGAGGCCAGGACCGGGACGAGATCGGAGCAGGACACAACTCGGGGATCTCTGAGACCTGGCGGCTCTGGAAATTGTACGCCTGCTTCCAGAGCTCTCGGGAACGCTCTGAAAGCACTGCGCAACGTTCTGGAAACATTTTACCTCCCCAAAAGCTCAGCTGGCCTGGGAAACGGCAAGCCCGTTTTTTCACCGCTTCCCAAGGAAGGGACTCTTGAAAGGGAAACGGCAAACAAGACTACCGGAGAACTGGCAGCAACGGCCCCGGGATTGGCATGGGAGCCAGAGCCGACAACAAAACGGCGACGGAGCCGGCAAAACACAAAAAAACGGTGTCAGAACCAGCAACAACAACGGCAAGACGGAGCCGGAACAGAAAGGGCCCTGTTGTTTCCAGGGCCCACTACTCAGTACTACTAGGCTTCGGTCGGGCATGTCCCCCCACAGGTGGAGCTTGGACGAATCATTAAAAATAGCCCAAAAATATTCAACCATAGTCCACTGCATACTATTTGTTTTTGATATATATATATATATATATATATATACAAATGCAAGTATATGTGTATATATATATATTCCCCCTGTAGAGTGACAGGCCCGACTCCAATACTCGGCCCCAGGGGCCCGCAGGAAGCCCCCAACGGGAGGCTGGGGTCCCCGCTGACTCGGAGCAACCAGGGGGCGACGCAGCGGGAGCCCCGTTGGCCTGCCGCCAGAAGACGCGCCCAAGCCCGCCGTGGCAGCGGAGGGAGGCCCACAGACCCCCCCCCCTCGAGGCATGAACAACAAGATCACGGCGGGAGGTGTTTCGCTATTTTCGGCCTCTGGGGGCCCACGCCGGGCCTCGGGCCCACGAGAGAAAACGATCCCTCCTCCCCCTCCTCCTCCTCCTCCTCCTCCTCCTCCTCCATCCTCCTCCTCCTCCTCCATCCTCCTCCTCCTCCATCCTCCTCCTCCTTCTCCTCCTCCTCCATCCTCCCGCGCTGGCCCTCCGAAGAGAGTCCAGAATCGAATCGACGAGTCGGACCGGCGATGGACGTCGATCGGATCGGCGGAACTCGGCAGCCATTGATGGGCCTGTTTTCCACCACCACTACCATAGGTAGGAGAGGGAGGAGGAGGAGGAGGAGGAGGAGGAGGAGGAGGAGGAGGAGGACGACGAAGGATGAGGAAGAGGAGGAGGAGGAGGAGGAGGAGGAGGAGCAGGAGGAGGGGTACCTCCTCATCCTCCCTTCTCCCCCGTCCTACATAAAATAGCGGTAGTGGACAACGTGCCTCTCGAGCCAGGTCGGGGGAGAAGCCGAGTCGGCGGACATCGCCAGGCGGGTGGGGCCTCTGTATATATATATATATAGAGAGAGAGAGAGAGAGAAAGAGAGAAGAGCCGGACATCCACGGCGGAATCCGAAGTCGGATCGACTCGGCATCGGAGTCGGTCATCGGCCGAGATCGAATCGAGTCGAGTCGGAGAAATCAAACTGAGCCGTGTGGCCCCCGTTCCGCGCGCCGCGACGCTGTGGAGATCGGCGTGCGCCAAAAAGAGGTACGGAGAAAACGGGCACGATGCCCGACAGCAAGCTTTGTCCCAAATCGGCAGCGGCCGGGGATGCGCAGGCGGCGTCTTGTTCTCAGTGGACCACGTCCGCGGCGACACTGACAGCGAACCCTGTTCAGAATGGACAGGAACTGCTGTCAGTCTTTGTTTCCATGATTCACTCGGTGGCGCGCCTGGGGGGGAACTGACAAGGAGCAGGCCTTCTCAGAAGGCGGCGGAGCTCCTCAGAAAGGACAACCCTTTTCCTTCCGGATGACACTCGTCAACAGGGGGGGATGGGGTCTCGGGAGGCGTGAACCCGCCAGGGTGCGTCCGCGCCACCAGCGCATGTGCACCACAGCATGTAGGAGGGGTCCAGGCCCTGCTGCCGGTACGATCGTTAGCATTACCCAGGAGGGGGAAAGGAGAGGTTTGGCGGGGTTAACGAGATTACCCTGAGGAGGAAAACAGAAAATCGCTCATGAAACCCCTCGGCCTTCTGAGAAATCCTCCGTGTCTTCGGGGAAGGCTGAGGGCACTTCTCAGAAGGCCCGAGGCCTCTCAGAAGGCCCGGACGCAGGCCAGAAGAGCATCCCTCAAGAACATGAGACCCTCCGCCGCCAAAAGCACACAGAACATCCAAGGGTACCCTGCCCAGGGTACAAGAACATCCAATCAACACGAAGAACACTACCTAGGGTACCCTCCACGAACCCACTTCGATGTTATACCTTGGTCCGACTGTGCCGACTGGGGATCGGCATGCGCCCTGCGATCAGTGCCCAGATGCGCCCCGCGAGACCGGCGAGAGCCGTGGCCTGCTGCTTCCTGCACGGACACCCCCGGCGCCGACGACGACGACGACGACGACAGCGACGGCGACGACGGCGACGGCGACGACGACGACGATGACGGCGACGAGGACGACGGCGACGACGACGACGAGGACGAGGACGAGGACGAGGACGAGGACGACGACGACGACGACGACGTGCTCGCGGCCGCCGGCCGCCGCGGCCGCGGCGCCGCGGCGCGCGCCTGCTTGCCGTCCCCGCCCGCGGGCTTCGCAGCGGGCGCCTCCGCCGAGGCGCCGCTCGCCTGCGGCGGCGCCTCGCGGCGACGCGCGCGGCGTCGTCGTCGTCGTCGTCGTCGTCGTCGTCGTCGTCGTCGTCGTCGTCGTCGTCGTCGTCGTCGTCGTCGTCGTCGTCGTCGTCGTCGAGGTCGTCGCCGTCGTCGTCGTCGAGGTCGTCGTCGTCGTCGTCCGCCTCGTGGTCGTGGTGATGGTGGTCGTCGTCGTCGTCGGCATCCTCGTCGGCGTCGGCGTCGTCGCAGCGGGCGATGAGGGTCGAGGCGCTGCTCTGGCCCCTCAGTGGGCCTCAAGGGGAACCCCCGTCGCAACGTCTGGAGTCGCCTCTAGGCTCGGGCAAGTACACTCCATGAGATCCAGAGAACTGTCGTCGTCGACGCCGTCGCTGTGGCAACAGTCGGCATCAACCTCGAAGACAGTCCGTCGCCATCGTCGCAAGGGGAGTCGGCGGAGGAGGAAGAGGAGAAATGGATGACAAGCCAAGTGCGCTCTCGCCGCATCTGACAGATTGCCCTTCCCACCCATCAATTTCCATTGCGTCAAATCCGTTTCTGTCCGCCGAAGGGTGTGCATCAGAGGGCCCTGGTCCCCAAATGGCCAAAGGGCAGTTGTAGGATTTGACGCCTCGTTTGCTGTGCAGTTGGGACGGAGGGCTCGTGTACTTTGGGGGAGGAGGAGGAGGAGGAGGAAGAGGAGGAGGAGGAGGAGGAGGAGGAGGAGGAGGAGAAGGCTGCTGAAGGTGGACGAGGTGGGAAAGAGGTTCAGAGGGTCAGAAGAATGTGGAGGATAGGAACGGAGAGGGATGGCAACGACGAGGGGAAGAAATATGATCCAGAAACGTGGCCCGCGCTGTAGCGAGACAGCCGTGCTGACAGAGGGGAGCAAGACAACGATCCTGACGTGCGGTCAACGCTGCAGCGGGAGCACCGTTAGTAAAGAACCGGAGACGTTCCGACCGAAACAACACATCTACAATCTCAACTTATGGAACCATCTGCGTGAATGAGCCGATCCTCACGTGTAGCCAACGCAGCAGCGGGGCACACGACTACATATAAATAGACGACATTCCGATGGAAACAACGTCTACCACATCAATGCGTGAACTCCCGTGTGTGCGAACACGACATACGCTGGAGAGGCGTGAGCACACGGGCTCATTGTCAGAGGAGGTAGTAATTACCCGTGGAACTTTACCAACTGGAACGAGCAACTGTGCAGGATGAGAAGTGAAGAGGGAGGGAAGAGAGACAAGGAAGGAATGCGGAAGGAAGAGGGACGAGGAATGATGCAACTGTGATCAAAAAAGGACTGAAGGAGGGAGGGATTGAGGGTTTCATCGGAGGCTTCAGAATGAATTTGTGTGATGTTCAGTATGCTGCTTGAGGTTTTGGGACGGAGGGAGGTGGAGGGGGGAGGGAGGAATAGGAGGACCGCGAAGAAGATAGAGGAAGGAAACAAACACAGCTCAGAATCACGCGATCTGGCGGCGCTCTCGCACAGCCGCAAAGGGAGGAGGGGGAGAGGGGGAGGAAGGCTGGAGGAGGAATGCGAAAGGAAGTATGAAGGTGGCGAAAGAAGACGGAAGGAGACCGACAAGGAGAGGAAGATGCCAGACAGGAAGGTGGGGAGGGAGGTGGAGGGGGGGGAGGCGGAAGGAGGAGGCGAAGGGGAGAGGAGAACGACGATGACGCGTTGCTTGAAGGAGGGGCACTCGGGTGGCGAAGAGAAGAGGAAGTAGGCTGAAGAGAAAGAGGGGCTGAGCGCAACGCCGCAGTAGAAACAACGCATTGCAAGAACGCGAGCCAGAGGATGGGAGGGGGACGGGGATGAGGAGAAGGAGACTGATGAGGAGGGAGGCGGAGGGAAGCAGAAGGTGGATGAGAGGGATGAGGAGGAGGAACAAAAACGAGGGGGAGGAAATTAAAGACCCCCGGGCGGATGCAGGGAAATGGCCCGACAAGCAGACCCTGAAGACACAGATCCTCAGAGCCCTAACTTCGATGCAGGGGAATTCCCTCCTCCGCCGTCGCAGTGTGTTGCGGCGCGGGCTCCAAGGTATTGCCTTTCCTACACTTCTGGTCGGAAATTTGGGGGGGAGATCGCAGTGGAGTGGCGAGCTGGCCAGCGGGAAATCGCTTTCGGTCTCGTGTTCGTCTCGTGCGCGCGGGCCAAACAAGCTGCGAAGGCGGGCGAAAGCAACGTTGCCGCCGTGGCTAAGGCTAGCGAGCTGGTTGTCCGCACCTTCCCACCGGCGCGCGGTAACCTGGGGTGTCCCGCCGGTGGCGCGGGGGTGCCCAATCGGTGGCGCGGGTGGCCCGTCGGTGGCGCGGGGTGTCACGACGGCGGTTCCAGGTGTCCCGCCGTGGTATCTGAATGGTAGCTCGTGAAATCAGTTGAGATATCGAAAATAAATCGATCGTGGTATCGATTGCGTGATCGATCGTGATCGCGAAGTCGATCGGAAGATCGAGAAAACGATACTGACATCGATGGCGAACTGGATAATGATATCGATCACAACATAAATTTGGCAGGGGGTGCCCGGCCGTGGCTGGGGGGGGGGCATCGTGGTGTCTCGATGGTGTCTCGTGTGATCTCATGTGAGGTTGATAGTGACTATATGTCTGATGATATAAGAGGTGATATTGTTCGTGCGTTCGGTATCACAAACAATACTGATATCGGTGCCGTTATCGAGTATTACACTCGTGACATCGATGGCGCCATCTCACCGCTAATGTGCTTAATGTGTTCTATGCCCCAAACCTCCTTATCACCCGAAACGTGGTCGTACAGGAAACGGTCGTTGTGTGCGTGTGTGTCATCGTGTGCGTGTGCGTGTGCGTGTGCGTGTGCGTGTGCGCGTGCGTGAGCGTGCGCGTGCGCGTGCGCGTGCGCGTGCGCGTGCGCGTGCGCGTGCGCGTGCGCGTGCGCGTGCGCGTGCGCGTGCGCGTGCGCGTGCGCGTGCGCGTGCGCGTGCGCGTGCGCGTGCGCGTGCGCGTGCGCGTGCGCGTGCGCGTGCGCGTGCGCGTGCGCGTGCGCGTGCGCGTGCGCGTGCGCGTGCGCGTGCGCGTGCGCGTGCGCGTGCGCGTGCGCGTGCGCGTGCGCGTGCGTGCGCGCGTGCGCGTGTGCGCGCGTGCGCGCGTGCGCGCGTGCGCGCGTGTGCGCGTGGGTGCTTGGGTGCGTGGTGGGTGCGTGGGTGCGTGGTGGGTGCGTGGGTGCGTGGGTGCGTGGGTGCGTGTGCGTGTGTGTGGGTGTGTGTGTGGGTGCGGGTGTGTTGTGTGTGTGTGTGTGTGTGTGTTTGTGTGTGTGTGCGTGCGTGCGTGCGTGCGTGCGTGCGTGCGTGCGTGCGGGTGCGTGCGTGCGTGCGTGCGGGTGCGTGCGTGTGTGCGCGTGTGTGTGTGTCTCTGTGTGTCTCTGTGTCTCTGTGTTTGTGTGTGTTTGTGTGGTTGTGTTTGTGTGTTTGTGTGTGTGTGTTTGTGTGTGTGTGTTTGTGTGTGTTTGTGTGTGTTGTGTGTTGTGTGTGTGTTTGTGTGTGTGCGTGTGTGTTGGGGGGGGGAGAGGGGGGGCGGGTAATCGTCACGCTTGGGCGGGGCAGGGCACGTCGGGGCGGAGGTGCGCTGCGACCTGTCCTTGTAGTACGCGCGCGAACACCAGCATGTGGGGGGAACCTGGGGTCCAAGTACCCCCCCTTCGCGCACGATCGTTACCATTACCCTGGGAGGTGGGGGGCGGTCCGGGTATCGACTGTTGCTGGCATGCGCGCAAAGAGGAAACTTGCTTTGCCGTCGCGGCGGGGCAGAGGCGATCCGCTCGCGCGTCGAGCAACCCGGGCCACGGCAGTGCGAATTGTCCCGCGTGCAACGATGAAGGGGCCCTGGGACACACAAATAAATACACACAAATAAACATAGTCCCCATATTTTCCCATATTTTCTGGGTTTTTGTCTTCCCCCCCAATTCCCATATTTTCCCATATTTTCTGGGGAATCGAGGATTAATTGTGTCTGTGTGTTTTTTCCTCTCCTGAGAATTGTCCCGCGTGCAACGAGGGGAGGGGGAGGAAGGCCAGACGAGGGCGGCCGCGGAGCGGGAGGGAGGGAGGGGGGCGCTCTCGCGCGGCGGCGCCGCGAAGAGCGCGCGGGGCGGCCAGGCTGCGGGGCAGCCCCTGGTAAAGATCGGGGGGATCTCGACCTTGGACGTTCACTCTGGAGACCTTCCTGTAGACAGTTGCTCCACTCGTGCGTCGAAGCTGCGTGGAACGTCCGCCGACTGGAGCCAAAATCTGGGTGAACCTGAATCGAACCTGAGCCGAACTGGAGCCGAACTTGAGCCGCACTGGGGCCGACCTGGGGTCGACCTGGAGTCGAAGAGATGCGCCAGGTGGGCCCCCAGGAAAGTCCCCCAAACGAGCCCCGAACCCGACCCGCACCCCATAATCGCCGGCGACGATAAGGGCAAATAGCCCAGGGGCGGGCATTTCACGTATTTGCCCGGGAGCCCCGTCGAAGACATAGATCATCGGCGCCCCTGGGTACACGTATTGCTCCCCCCTGGGCTATTCGCCCCCATCGTCGCCTCCGACATAAAAGCCCTCTAAAACAAGGCTAGGATCAGGACAAATCGCTCCAGAGCGTTCCGGAGCGCTCTGGAGCGGCCGCGGCGCCCAATACATCCTCCAAACCCGCCGATTCTCAAAAATTTCGAGTTCTCCCGATCCGATTTTGTCCCGATCTTCGCGTCGTTTTACCCTCCGCCCCCACGGGCGGTTCTCGGTAGAGGGCTGGAGATCCACCCCGATAATAAGCACCCCGACAACGCAACCGTTTAGTAAATGCACCCGACGAAGGAATCGAACAAGAAAGCGCTGTTTAGTAGACGCGCGGGGCCGTTTAGTAAACGCCGATTATGGGGGTCGGGGTGGACTTGTCCTCGTTGACTCGGCCGGCCTCTCTGGGGGCACGACACGTGGGCCCCCCCCGCCGCCGAGGGCCACCGGGGGGGGCGCCCAAGGGAGAGA